TTAGGGCAACATACTGCATTAAAGTGATGTCATAAAATTTCTAAATAGTACTCAAGCAGCCTGAGGGAGTAAATGTGTTTTTTTTTTTAAGATTTTATTTATTTATTTGACAGAGACACAGTGAGAAAAGGAACACAAGCAGGGGGAGTGGGAGAGGGAGAAGCAGGCTTCCCACTGAGCGGAGAGCCCGATGTGGAACTCGATCCCAGGACCCTGGGATCATGACCTGAGCTGAAGGCAGACGCTTAACGACTGAGCCACCCAGGCGCCCAGGAGTAAATGTTATTTAACAAAAACTCATATAGTGCTTACAATATCCCCGGCATTGTTCTAAGTGCTTTATAAACTCATTTATACAGTATTTTCAGTATACTTCGTAACTAAATTCTTATGAAGCTTAATGAGTATGTGAATTAGCATTCACCAATAAATTAAAGTGAACAACCACTTTCACTTACCCTTTGAAATTAAAATTAATTCATTTCTAACAATTAGGATGATCCTGCAATATTATGAATCTGGTCAGTTAACTCTCCTTACTGAAGTCCTTCAATTGCCTTCAGGACAAAGTCCAAATTCCTCCACCAATCATGAAGGTACTGCGGCATCTACACTGCTTTCCTGTTCTGGCTCATATGTACCTTAAATCCTAACTATTTGCACTTAACAAAAATATGTCCTGATTCCCACCTGCCCACGTAATTGCTGCCCCTTTGGTTTGATATGCCCATCACCTTCCTTTAATCTGGCCAATTCCCACTCACCCTCAAAACACAGCTAAGACAGCACCTCCCCATGAGAGGCCCCCTTACTGCTCACCTGGCTTAAATACTCTGTTTTCTCTGCTTCAACAGCTTTCTGTGATCACCTCCTGAAAACCACACAGAAGGGCAGAGTATAACTGCTTATCCATTCATACATTTTCCCACTTGTCTGTAAATTCCTTAAAGGCTTGAACTGTGTCTTTTATCTCTAAATCCCCAGAGCCTTGTACAAAAATTGGTACACAGTATGAGCCCAAGTAAATAAATGCCTTTTAAATACACAAATGAACAAATGAATATAGAAAGGCATCCCAATTTTATTTCTGAAGAAGAAAGGAAATTGCTAAAAGTATCTATGAGTAGCTAAGATGCCATAATTTTATCTATTTAATTACCAAAGAAATGATAAGGGCCATATATAATCAACGTGAGTTTTTAGGTCCAATGCCAACTCTCAATGAAACCAAAAATGCAAAAATGCAGCAAAACTCCTTAGTTTCCTAATTGCAGGAAAATTTGGCATATGGCAACTAAGTCTTTACAACTGTAATTGCAGATTCAAGACCTAGTAGTCAGCAATTTCTAGTTTAAAGAGCATGTAGTTTAAAGAGCATGGTAAACTTCAACAGCCTCCCAGGTGATCCAGACATCCAACCAGATGTACTGTGATGTACCTCACTACGTGCCAGGCACTGAGATAACTGCTCATAATAATTATTTTGATGAGGAGTGCCTGAGTAGCTCAATCGGTTAAGCATCCGTCTATTTTTTTTTGACTGTTCTGTGTTAGTGTTTTATTACATGTATTTCCATATTTTCATATAAAACAAGATCATAATGTTGTAAATAGTTTGCTTTCTTTTCATAATCTTTCTCTTTCCCTGTCAATAAATTTCCATAGCCTCTAATACCTCAATCATACTGAAATTACCCTAAATGTCCCACGATTTTCCCAAAGCTAGTTTATCCAAATCACGTTTTAGGTCTGGAGGTTGCATTTTATCCAGCTTGTATATCCCTTAGGTGTTTTCAATCTAAAACAGTCCTTTTCTTCGTCTGTTAATTTTCCTGCTCGATGTTTGTCTGATCACTTCCTCATGCTGTCACTTAGCCTGCTCCTCTGTCCCCTGTATTTCCTATAAATCAGAAGGTACATCTAAGAGCTTGATCAATTTATGTTGATAAACTTTGTCTAGAATACATTTTGGGTGCCACTGTATGTTTCACGTGGCTTTTCTTCAGCAGGCACATGCCATGTGGTTTTACCATCACTGAAACTCTGACTGTCCTCTGGGTCTCGTAATGGCTGCCCATACTGGCTGCTAGACAGTGATGTGATCCCCCTGTGACCAGAAAGTATTCGGTATGGAGTTCCTTTAATACCACACAGATGTGCGGTTTCCCCTCAGCCATTCACTGCATGGCCAGTTCCATTTGACAGCGCTTGCCTGAATTAACATTTGTTAGAAATCACAAAATGATGATTTTTCTAATGTTATCATTTCTCCTACGGTTATCAGCTGCCACTCCTTAGTGAAGAAGAGCCTTCCTGAATCAACTAGATCCATTTGGTTACTCTGAAAACCGTTCAAACAAGCATCCAAGTCTGGATTTCAGTTCAGGTCATGATCTCAGAGTTGTGAGATGGAGCCTGCATAGATAGGGCTCTGTACTGGGGCATGGAGCCTGCTTAAGAGTCTGTCTCCCTCTCCCTGTGCACCTCCCCACCACTTGCAGCATGCAAGCGTGCTCTCTCTAAAAAAAAAAAAAAAAAGATATTTAAAAATAATTACTTTGGTGGTTAAGACAGCATTTCACTTTCAATCCTGATGTGAATAAATAATCTATTCATGCTGTTTAACCTAAATCCTACCAGTTCATCCATACCCCACCAAAAGCCAGTCATTCTTCTCAACTGTGAGGTTTATTATTGTGAGAAGTAGGGATGCATAGGTCCAAGGTATCTTCTGCCCCAAGTGGAAAGGCCTATGACCCAAAAACTGCCGAAGTCCTGCTCCATAAATGGAGAGAAAAGAAGGAAGACTGGCCTGTTTTCTAAAGGTGGTGGTCTTTCACCAACACAGTGACGGGCAGGGGGTACCTGAAGACACAACCAGCACGAGGCAGAGACTTGGAGCTTCCAGGTTCAATTCTGCAGTTTTCTTTTTCCGCATTTCTATTTCCTTCTATTGCCCTTCCGCTCTGAGAAAGTCTTCGTGATTTGTTTTAAAGCACTGGCTCTATCAGCAAAAATTCAGACTGTAAACTACAGGATGAAAGACCCCCTGTCTTTGATGAATAAATTGCAAAGAAAAATCAAGGAAATGGAGAGGAGGAAACTATGCATTAAAGAGACTCAAAAAATGGGCGCCTGGGTGGCTCAGTTGGTTAAGCGACTGCCTTCGGCTCAGGTCATGATCCTGGAGTCCCGGAATCGAGTCCCACATCGGGCTCCCTGCTCAGCAGGGAGTCTGCTTCTCCCTCTGACCCTCTTCCCTCTCGTGCTTTCTATCTCTCATTCTCTCTCTCTCTCAAATAAATAAATAAAATCTTAAAAAAAAAAGAGAGACTCAAAAAAATAAAGTAATTGCAGTCTATAGACACTATTTGGATCCTGGATCAAACAAATTCAAATATATATGTATTACATTTATATATATTTATCAAATATACTTACATATATTTAACATATTTATATACTTAATTTATATTTATATGTTAGGTATAATATCATGGTTACATTTTTAAAAGACTCCTTTTAGAAGTGCAGAGTGAATTTTTTATGAATGAAATTATATACTTGCTTCAAAATAATATGAGGAGGGAAGAAAATAGGTAGGAGATAGATGAAACAAAATTGCCTATGAGTTGCTAATTGTTGAAGCTGGAGGTTCATTTTAATATTCTATTTTGTGTGTGTTTGAAATTTTTCATAATCAAAAGTTGTAAATATGTGTGAGAATATTCCTCCACAGAAATAACTTTCATTTACTAAAAAAGAAGAGTGTCCCCTACTTCTACTTCTTCAGTTTTACTATGAAAACAAGTCAGAATGAAAGAGGAAAGTAGGTATTTATCAAAAGTTAATTCAAATAATGGGATCCTTCATATTAAAGCTTGGCACATCAGATTTTCTACTACAATAATCAAACTTTGATGGATATTACTGTAACCCTTTAAATTAATTTCTTACACAAAAACTTCAACAGAGCTAAGCCTTTGGCTACAAATACAGATTTAAATGGCATTTTTCTATTTTTACATATTTTACACATATAGATCAAATACTATGACTTTCACAGCATCAACATCTTAAAGTATTAATAAATATATTTGCACGTGTGAAAATGTTCAGCCTGCCTTTAGGTCAGTGAAGTTTACAACATTTTCAACCACATGAACAAGTTCTACCTTAATATGTACTTACAGATGAATGAACTGTTTATACCAGGTTGATGTATATAAACACAAAAACTGTTTAAAAAGCCCCCCAAAAATTACCTAAATTAATAAGTAAGTTCAAAATACTTTTCAGTCATTAGCTGTGGATGTGTGTTATTGATCTAAATATGGGTAAAAGGCAAACTTAGGTTTCTTTTTTTAAACATAGTTTATAAATGCCCAATAACAATACGGCTCAAATTACACTAAAGGACTGCTACCAACGAAGAAATGGGGGAGGAGACGCCTTTTCTGAAAGGTGGAGGTGAATGGATATATCTCTGGTGTCCACAAATTGAGTGAGCTGAGAACACTGCAGTTGAGCTTATTTTTACAGCCTGAGTTTAGATAGGGATGTCTACGCTTGTCTTTTCATTTTTTCTACAGTACCAATCTTGGTTTAAATCATGTATAAAGTCTTTTGGAGGATTAAAACAAGCACCACAATGATGATGATGCAAATCCTGCCAATATTAAATCCCTTCTTGCTATGCAAGGCACCTGACAGAGGTGAGAAGGGCTCCGGCCCTTCGCTCAGGATGCCGCACTGCCGAAGACATCCCGCACAAACTCCTCTAGCAAAGCTCCGGCCTGTGCTTCTTTGGGGGGGGGGTTGTGTCCCTCCTCCCACCGCCCCGCTCCCTTCTTTTTTGCACAGAGAGCGCCATGCATGACTCGCATTAGGACTGCGCTCATTTCACCAAAGACACTGCATCTCCAGGGCGACGGAGAGCAAACGCGGGGTAGGGTGGGCCAGGCCGCGCCCAGGCCCACCCCCCGGGCCCCGCCTCTCACCTGCCCGCCGCCGGGGTGGCCCCGCACCCGCGTGTCGAGCGCGTCGTGTCCAGTTTCGTCTCCGCCGCCCGAGCTGTAGAGGAGCCGGAGTGGCACGATGCTCTGGCGCTCCAGGAAGCGGTTTTCGTTCCTCCTCTCCAGCTCCGTCAACGAGGCGTCTCCTCCAGGCAGGAAAAGGGTAAGGAGGGAGTGGGGAGAAAAGGAGAAAATAATGACCCTGACCCATACTCTTGCCTTCTGCGGTCCGACGTCTCCTCTATGAAAATCCTGCCGCCCCCTCCCTCCCGGTCCCTATCTGAGAAGGACGCAGAGACACCAGCCGGAGAGCCCTGGACCAGCTCCTCTGAGATCATCCAGGATCGGGGCCCAGAAGCACAGCACCCCTTTCCGATCCTCCGCATTCCTCCTCTTCAGAAGAGGAAAAACAGGCATTTGACCGAAGGCTTCTAATGCATCCGCGCGCCCCCACACATGTATTTTTGCTTCACTTCTCACCACCCTTCTAAATAAAAAATCTCCCCGCGCACTCGGGAAACGGGGATGCCCGTTTCCAGTGCGCTTGAGCTGCAAAGACTCCCGGAAAATGGTACGTCCCGAAGCCACAGAGGGTGGCGAACTTACCTGCCCGGCCGCAGCGCGCTGGGGGGCAGGTCCCCAGGGCGCAGAGCAGCAAGAAGGGCACCGACGCAGCCGCCGCCGCCTGCATGGTGCTGCCGTCAGCCCGCCTCGTTCGAGACGCTCAGCTCCTCATGCCCCGGCCGCCGGGTCCGCTTCCCTCGGCCCGCGCCCCCGGGCTCGTCTCGTCCGCCCTCTCCCAGCCCCGGCCGGTGCTGCGGCGGCCGTGGCGCTGCAGCCTCCACCGCGGCGCTGCCTCAGTGCTGCATTGTGCTCCGCGGGCGCTTCCGCTGGCGGGGGGAGCGAGCGAGTGCTGCATTGGGCGGTTGGCTGTAGCTAAGTGGTTTCTAGCGCCTCCCACCTCATCCCATGGCAAAGGCTCCGGCGGGCGACGAGCGCTCGGCAGGGCGCGAGCGCCTGGTGCACTCGCCCCCCGCGCGCGGACAGGGGCGCGCGCCGGAGAGTCAGCTGGGAAATGTAGTTCTCGCTCCGCATCCCGCTAGTCTCCACGAAGGTGCGGACTGTCGCTACCTCGTGACCACGGAAGACAGGAAGGGGGAAAAGGGCAGAAGAGAGGTCATCGCTGGTAGGCCTCCTGGGCACCGAAATAGCCCAACTGTGGCGCTGCGAGAGCCAGTATTCCTTCACTCTGTACGTCCGCAGAGAACCGTAAAAATGTTTTCCACAGATTCAGTAGTTACTTAAATTATTGTCAGGGAATCACACCCTCAAGAGTACGTGGTAAGTTAATCATGCATCAAATACTGACTGAGGAGGACCTACTGTGTGCCCGGTGGCTAAGCAGGGGGACACAACCGTGAACGACACGAGTGTAAGAGGCACGCGCTCTCGGAGTAGAGGAAAAACTTTTTACATTACAGTGTGAAAGTACCCTGGTAATGCTTAGAGGAGGATCATTAACTCGGCCAGGCGACTCAGGAAGGAACCTCAAGATGGTCAGCGCAGACCAGACTGGAAGGATGTCTTGGATTTAGCCCAGGTGTCCAGGATGTTTTGTCCTTTCTCTGATCTCTGCCTGTCTCAAACATGTTTGTGAAAACCAGACGTGAAGAACTCGACCTTCTCAGGCTGCTAATTCCATTTTTCTGTAATTCCAAATGTTAGAAACTCTTGAGGATAAGACAATAGTACAATTATTATTAATTATCACCATAATTAACACTTATATAGCATGATACAGTTTTTTCTGAGGTCACATATAATGCCGTTTGAACTTTGGATCAGCAATTTGGTAAGTATTTTTATCCCCATTTCAGAGAGGAGGAAATTCAGGCTTAGAGCAGCACCTTCCAAATACTGTAACCACTAGCTACATGTAGCTATTTAAATTTAAATTAATTAAAAGTAAATAAAATGTAAAATAGAGTTCCTCAGTCACACTAAACACATTTCTGTACTGCCTATGACTAGCAGCTACTGTATTGTAGAGCAAAAATATAGAACATTTCCATCATTGCAGACAGTTATATTGGACACAAGTGGCTTAGAGAATTTAAAGGACTTTTCCTAAGGTTCCATGGCTAGTTATAGAGTAAACTGGATATCCTGCTTTCAGATCTGAGTCTTTTTCCACAGTTCCCTGGTGGAACCTGTGTTTTTATAACCTCCATCCTGATTCTGGTCCTGTAAAGCATGTAGAAGAATCTTACACATGATGCTCTGTGGAGATGTTTTTTTCCTTCCCCACTGGAAAAAAATTGTTTTTTTACCCCTGCCTCTGTGACATGGTTTCAGGTTTCCATCATGATGATTTGAAAATACACTCCAGTATGTCAGTGTCCCAGCTAAAGTGTGGTATTCAGTATTAAATACAACTTAGACATGGTTTTACAAGCAAACAGTAGAGAGGGACTCTTTTCTCCCTTGAAAGAACATTCTATCATATTTAACCACATCTCATTGATCTTATTGTCATTTCAGAAAAAATTTCCCCAGATTTTCAAATAAATAAGGCACTTAAGAATTTTATATGTGACACGCAATTATAGCCTGAATAGGGGCTAAAAGATTTCAGTGGTACACTTTACACCTTGATGCAAGAGGTTTCATGGTAGCTACAGTAAAAGAGAATTAAAACCCAAGGGCCTGGAGGCACCCAGGTGGCCCAGTCGGTTAGGTGGTGGACTCTTGTTTTCGGCTCCACTCATGATCTCAGGGTTGTAAGGTCCTTGAATGGTATTCGTGGTATTTCTGTTGGTTTTGTACATTTTATTAGAAAGCACTATAAAATAGCCACACCGACACTTTAGTTCTACAGTATGCAAATACAAATAAGTTGTAATATTAGGAAAACTTTTGTTTTAATGTGAGAATGAGCATGTCCAGTTTCTGCTGTACAGTACTGAAATTTTATTAACAGAGCTAAAAAAAATTGCATGTGTTCTTTGGAAAAGTTTCTGTTCAGTTCCTCTGCCTATTTTCTATAGGATTGCTTGTTTTACTATTGATTTGTGTGAGTTAGTTATATATTTTGGATATTAACCCCTTACCAGAAATATGATTTGCAAATATTTCCTCCCATTCAGTAGGTTGTCTTTTCATTTTGTTGATGGTTTCCTTTGCTGTGCAGAAGCTTTTTAGTTTGATATAGCCCCACTAATTTATTTTTATTTTTGTTGCCTTTGTTTTTAGCATCAAATCAAAAAAGTGATTGCCAAGACTAATGCCAAGGAGTTGATGTCAAGAGTTGTGGAGTTGGTTAATAGAACATGGTTCCTTTAGGAGCAAAATGGATGGAAAATAACAAGGTAATTTCTCAACATGTATCATTAAAATAAATCAGCCTCAGGAGGCTGTGGGAAGTTGCTCCAATCGAGAATCATGACTTCTATTTCCAGATTTGAGTCAGTTTTTTAACCCAGAAACCACCAACTGAAGAAAAGGTCATGTTCCCAGGAGAAGGACCCCGCATCACATGTCACGTACACCTGGTAATATTCCCTTAGCTCTTCCCCAAAGGGAATTATCTTCATTTACCTGGGTAACTGCACGGGAGAAAGGGGTAAGAATACCCAAATAACTGTTGGATACAGGGTCTGGACTGATAGTGATACCTGAGACCCAAAGCACCTATTATAATGGGGACATGTGGGAGCCAAGTAATAAATGGAGTCCTGGCCAAGCTTTGGCTCATAGTGGGTCAATAATGTCATTTGCTTAGCCTCTGAATGTTTTATTAGAAAATACTTAGTACTTCAGTAAATCACCCACATTGTACCTCTGACCCATGGGGTAAGAATTATAGTGGACAAGACCAAAAAAAAAAAAAAATTGAGAAGAAGAAAAGACCAAGTGAGAATCTGAAACTGCCTCTATCTCTCAGCCAAAGAATTAATCAAAAACAGTATCTTAATCTGGGGCGATGCTGGTGGTAGTGATGGAGGAAATTGATGCCTCTGTTAAATATCTAAAGATGGTTGATTCCCATCCTATTCATCTGGGTTATAAAGAATAACAGTAGATGCGGGGGGCAGTTAGCCCAGTGATGGTATTAAGGAGGGCATGTACTGCATGGAGCACTGGGTGTTATACAAAAACAATGAATCGTGGATCACTACATCAAAAACTAATGATGGGAAAGAGCCAAGATGTCCATCGACAGATGAATGGATAAAGAAGAGGTGGTATATATACACAATGGAATATTATGCAGCCATCAAAAGGAATGAGATCTTGCCATTTGCAACGACGTGGATGGAACTGGAGGGTGTTATGCTGAGTGAAATAAGTCAATCAGAGAAAGACATGTATCATATGACCTCACTGATATGAGGAATTCTTAATCTCAGGAAACAAACTGAGTGTTGCTGGAGTGGTGGGGGGTGGGAGGGATTGGGTGGCTGGGTGATAGACATTGGGGAGGGTATGTGCTATGGTGAGCACTGTGAATTGTACAAGACTGATGAATCACAGATTTGTACTTCTGAAACAAATAATGCAGTATATGTTAAGAAAAAAAAAACAGAAGAAGATAGCAGGAGGGGAAGAATGAAGGGGAGTAAGTCGGAGGGGGAGACGAACCATGAGAGACGATGGACTCTGAAAAACAAACTGAGGGTTCTAGAGGGGAGGGGGGTGGGGGGATGGGTTTGCCTGGTGATGGGTATTAAAGAGGGCACATTCTGCGTGGAGCACTGGGTGTTATGCACAAACAATGAATCATGGAACACTACATCAAAAACTAATGATGTAATGTATGGTGATTAACATAACAATAAAAATTATTTAAAAAAATTTTTAAAAAAAGAATGAATAATTTTGATATTAAAAAAACTAATGATGTGTTGTATGGTGACTAACATAATAAAATTTAAAAAGAAAAAAAAGTAACAGTAGATAGCCACAAACTGCACCAAGTAGTAGCCTCAACTGCAGATGCAGTGCCAGATGTGATATCCTTTTCATTGCAAATGAACACAGCCTCAGGTACATGATATACAGCCACTGTTTGGGCAGATGGATAATTTTCCATCTCGGTCAGAAAAAAATCAGGAACAGATTGCATTCACAGGGAAAAGATTACAGTATACATTTTACTTCTCCATTAAAATTTGAAGAGGATTCCATTGAGAACATTACATTAATCCATTGTATTGATGATATCATATTTATCAGACCGTATGATTAAGAAGTTGCTAACAGACTGGAACTTTGGTAAGGCACATGTCCTCCAGGGTGTGAGACATGTACCCTAGTAAGATTCAGGGACCTGTCCCATCAGTAACATTTTTAGAGTTCCAGTGGTCGGGGGCATGCCAGAAGATCCCATCCAAAGTAAAAGGCATATTGCATCCTGAACTTCCAAAACACGAAGGAAACATAATGCTTGGAAAGCCTCTTCGGATTCTGGAGGGAGTCTATTCCAAATGAGAGTACTACTTCCACCCAGGGGCATGAAAGGCTGCCGGCTGTAAGCAAAAAATAGCTCGGCAGTCATATAACCAGGCAGGTTCCAAGGTTTGAGAGGCCTCAGTGGTAGGAAAACTGGAGTTTATGGAAAGCCCCAAAAGGGAAATGACAACTTTCCCTGGGGGCTTAGCGTAAAGCTGTGCGATCTTCAGTGGAGAATGATGTACTTTTGGAAAAATGAAAAGTTTGTTGTAGATGATGACATAGGAGAGACGAAGTGCCTGTCTGTGGGGCA